CAGTTTATCATTTTGTATGGGTTATGATTTTCGTGTTTATGGTTGGGCAAAAGAACTCTTTGCCCAGACCAAGATCATAAAGATTTTCTCCTATATTTTCTTCTAGAAGGAACTGCAATTTTAACCAGGCATGCTGGAACAGTTGTGGGACACTCTTCAGATTCAGTGGTTGGAAACATATCTATCATTTGTGAATAGTGTATAGACTATCTATTAGAGAATCTTTTTTTTTGTATCACACCTGGCAATGCACCGGGGTTACTCCTGACTCATGCACTCAGGAATTACTCCTGGCCGTGCTTGGGGGACCAAATGGGATGTTGCGAATCGAACCTGGGTCAGCCTCATGCAAGGCAAATACCCTACCCACTGTGCTATCGCTCCAGACCTGTGTGAGAGAATTACCCGTGTGATAGGCCGAACAATTCAGAGCTCTTCCGTCTGTGGAAATCTGAGATCCACATCTTCCCATTTTTGAGACGAGAGATGCTGAGGAAAACGGGACACCATGGGGCAAGAGCATAGTCTATATATGCATATGTGTCCATATCACTCACATATACCTACCCACACATGTCTGGGTATGTTTTCATAAGCTATGTTTTCATAAGTCCAGCATACACTGTGTAAAGAGGTCAGCAGGAACAGAAGCACTTGCCGTTCTCTGGTGGCAGGCTTCCATATTCCTGCGACACTTGCGTTGGGTAGAGACTCTAGTATGAGTGAACTGGAGCTGAGTCTTCGCTGAGCAAGTTGGTGTCACCCGCACAATCTCAACCTCACTGCTCCGTGACAGTGCCGAATTTACACCATGCGGACACTTCTGTAACACTTGCTTGCTCACGTATGTCCCTCTTGCACATGCACAAATGGGCTTCCAGACTTTAATCTCTTTGCCTTTTCAGGAAGTCTGGGCTCCAGGGTCCTCAGTTTGGGTTTTGGTTCTCGGATTGCACCCAGTGGTGCTCAGAGGCTCCTTCTGGCTCTTTGTCTAGGTGCTACTCCTGGTTCTGTGCTCGGGTCTATGCGGTGCTGGGCATCACCCCTGATCTCCTGCCTGCAAAGCCTGCACTTAGCCCTTTGAGCTGTCTCCTTGCCCTGGGGGTCCTAAGTTTTAATAGAAGTTGGATGGAGGAGGCTTACCAAAGAGAGGAAAATATTCTGTTCTCTGACCACTCCCCCTCAGCGAGGGTTGGAGATGATGAGTGAGGCACCGTGGTGCCAGAACAGGGTCAGAACCAGTTGATAATTAAAAATGTTTTATCACTGGGGCTGGAGACAGAACACCTAGCATGTACCAGGCCTAGGTTCGATTGTGGGTCCCACAAGCATTGCTGGGTGCAGCCTAGGAGGCCCCGGGTACTTCCAAGTGTGGCCCCGGAGGCTCCCAGTGCTGCCAGTAGCACAGGACCCGAGCAGCACCACATCCTCAGGCCCTTGCATTGAACAACATGCCTGCATGCCCATGAATTGCCAGTGGCACCCCACAGCCTCATAAGCATTGCTTGGGAACCTCGCACCCCAAATTTGATATTACACCTTATAAAGAAATATCAGAAGAAGATCTTCAGAAGGAAAAATACAAATGTCAGAAATTCCTATCTAAGTAAAGGAATACATTAGAGAAGAAATAAAATTAGAACAAAAACATTTGATATCACAAACTGGAGAGTTGGCTCAGAGGGCTAGAATAGCATATGCTTTCATAGACAGGTGCTGGAGCGATAGCACAGCAGTAGGGCGTTCGCCTTACAAGCGGCCAACATGGCCGACCCGAGTTCGATTCCTCTGCCCCTCTCGGAGAGCCCGGCAAGCTACCGAGAGTATTGGATATGCCAGACACAGTAACAACAAAGTCTCCAATGGAGACGTTACTGGGCCCGCTCGAGCAAATCGACGATCAACGGGAGGGCCTTTACCTTACCTTACCTCTTCATAGACAGAAGACCCAGGTACAATCCCTGGTGCCACATAGTCCTCAGAGGACCCCCAGTGTGGTCCCAAACAAAAACCAGACACATTGTTGATATCTCATTACTATAGATTATGTTTACATTACTGTATTTATTTTTGTGGTACTAGAGATAGAACCCAGAGCCTCATACACACAAAGCAAGAACTCTATTATTTCTGTTCTGTTTTGTTTTGGGGTCACACCCAGCAGTGCTCAGGGCTTACTCCTCATTCTAAGCTCAGGGATCAGTCCTGGCAGGCTCAGGGTGCCAGGTTGGCTGTGTGCAAGGCAAGCACTCTACCAGCTGCACTATTTCTCCTGAGTCTCTGTGATTGAACCACCTTCCTGGCCTTCTCCAAATTTTGGCCCAGCTCTGGAGGCGGGGCATTTGCCAATAGGATGACTGCACTGTTCATTCTCTGCACAGCTCCTTTCCCCTTCTTTCTCTCACACCCACCCACGACCTTTGGTTGCCTCCCAAGGTAGGATGGGAGGCAGGGAGAAAGAGGCCTTCTCTTACCACTTGCGGACAAAGACATGAAGCTCCCTCCCACCTGGCTCCTGAGTCTGGGCTGTGGGCCATCACTCTTCTCCCCATTTCAGATTTCACAGGACTTTGCTTCACTCCTTTACCTCACAGTCACTGATACCTGGTGATGCCAAGACTGCCACAGGGTATTCCTAGTTGGTGGGGAAGACAGGGAGAGGCAGACATGAAGGTTCAATGTGACATTGGCAGGGAGAGAAGCTGAGAGGGAGCCAGTCTGGGGTTCCCATCTTGCAGACCTTTGCACATGACACAGTGGCCAAGCAAAGACTTGGGTTTAATCTTTGTTTGAGGGACATACTCCCCGGTGTTGGGAGCTACCACCAGCTTTGTCCATGGGGGTTGATCCTGTCAGTGCCGGAGGCACTGTGTAGTACTGGGGATTCGATCCAGGTCTTCTGCATGCAGACCATGCACTCAGTGCATTGAGCTCCCTCTGGCCACCCAAACAGAGGCTTGGGAAGGAGGGGGCCCTGCCTACGAGAATGAACAAGATCCCTGAAACAGTTCCGGGGAGCTCGAGAACTCACACACTGATGGTCCCCTTTCCCTGGTGTTGCATCATATGTCCTGTTTGCCTGTACTTTAAAACTTCTTTTTAAAGTAATTTCTAATGTTTAATATTCCTAAGATTTGAGCTGGAGAGATAGTACAGGGGTTACGGCACTTGTCTTGCATGCGGCTGATCTGGGTTTGATCCTTGGCATCGCCTATGGTCTCCTGAGCCCCACTGGAGTGATCCCTGGACAAACAGCAAGAAGTAAGCTCTGAGAATTGCTGGGTATGCCCCCCACCAAAAAACTATTCCCGATATTTCAGGACAAGAGACATAGCTCAATATGCTTTGTGTGTGGGAGGTCTGGGTTTGATTCCCCAGCACTGCCAAGAGTGAGCACCAAGCAGGGAATAGCCCCCAGGTGCTGTTGGGTGTGACCCAAAACAAAATAAATCCAGAGATTTCACTTAGAAGAGCAGACCCCTGGACTCACCAGCAAAATAAACCAGCCTGGAGTTCTGGCAATGCTGGTGTCCTGCTTGGTCATTCTCAACCAGGGAGTGGCTCTCTCAGTGCCCAGAGAAGACTGACTTTTGTCCCTCTCTGAAGGGGGAGCTACAAGCCTCGTGGCACTACTCAGCACCTTGAAAGGTGGTAGTCCAAATTACAGTAGGCACTGGATTTTCTTTTGGCATTTTGGCTGTGCACAAACAGTGTGCTTGTGTTTGTGACTGTAAGTGGGTACCAGGGATTGAACCAGGGTTGGTCACATGCAAGACAAACTCCTTAACCCCTGTACTATCTTGGGCCCATGCACTGCATTTTGAAGATTAAGTCAAGGAATGTAAGCTAGTGCATTAATAATCTTGAAAATAGGGGCCAGAGCAATAGTATAGTGGGTAGAGCATTTACCTTGCATGTGGTCAACTCTGGTTCAATCCCAGTACCCCAAATGCCCCTCCCCACTTCCCCAAGACCTGCCACGAGTGATTCCTGAGCACAGAGCCAGGAGTAAGCACCAGTGGATGTTGCCCAGAATAATAATAATAGTTTTGAAAATACTGATTATACATTTTAGTGACAGCCTACCTTCTCACCAGTCTTAACATTGCTGAAAGAACAGAAGGCCAAGGGCACAGAAGTGCCTCAGCTATTCTCTCTGCCCCTGAAGGCAAGCAGAGTTAGACCTTGGGGAGAACTTTTCTTTTAAAGCCAAGAGTGTCCGAGTGGGTTTGAGAAAATTAACTTTTCAGAATTCCTGCTGGCCTTTCTGAGTAGCAGATGGAGAGCACTGGGAGGAGGGCTGATAGGTGTGTGTCTTTATTCCAGGGCTGGAGGCCTAATGGGGCCATAACTTCCCTGACCCCAGGATGTGGGATTCAAAGCTCTTAGGTCCCCTCATTGATATTGGGGGGTGTCAGCAAAATATGGGTGCTGTACAGATGGGGCTGCAGTGACCTAGGAATCCTGCCTGCAGGGCAGCCTCCGCTTCCCTACTCCCTGCTCCCTCTGACTGCACACCCCCAAGACTCTGCTGAAGCAGGCTGAATTTGTTTGGGAATTTTCAGGGAGCCATGGGGCCGGGCATTGAACCTGGGCCTCCTGCACCCAGGCGTGTCCTTAGTGGGCTCCCGGGCCCTGTAGTTGTTTGAGTTTGTACAGGGAGTCAGTCTGACTTGGTGAAAAGGAACACGGGTCCGAGAGCCAGACAGTGCTCAGTTCCATTTCCACCATAGCTGAAAGGAGAATCACGTCAATCTCACTGGGCCTCAGTTTCTCTGATGCTACAGTGCAGGCTGTGGCATAGTCCTGGAAGGGTGCTGGGATCTGTGTGTGAGTGGCACCTGGTAGAGTGGCCAGCATGCAGAGGTGCTCAGGGGAAGTGCTCACCTGCCCCCAGAGGGCGTTCCCTGTGCCCCCTGCTCAGTGTTCAGTGCTCTCTCTCTCTCTTTCTCTCTCTCTCTCCTTCTCTCCCCACACCCGTTCTTGTTTCTGCTCCACAGTCCCCCTCCCCTCGAAAGCCAGCAGCCTCTCCGCCCTCTCACTGGCCAAAGACAGCCTGGTCGGTGGCATCACGAACCCCAGTGAGGTCTTCTGCTCCGTGCCAGGCCGCCTCTCACTGCTCAGCTCGACATCCAAGTACAAGGTGACCGTGGGGGAGGTCCAGCGGCGACTCTCGCCTCCTGAGTGCCTCAATGCCTCCCTCCTGGGGGGCGTTCTTCGCAGGTAGGAGGACAAGCCCACACCTCTCCGGCCAGTACCTCTCTGGTCCGGTTATCTCAGACCTTTTTCAGGGGACTCAAGGGGCCAGCCCTACCCCCAGGTCACAGGGTCATCTCCTCCTCACCATCCCTGGGACGGTAGACACTGGGGGGAGCTCCAAGTCCTGAGCAGTTCTTGATGGCCTGGGGAGAAGGGTAGAGAAAGAAGCATGGGCACAGAAAAGGGACAGGAGAGTCACCGGATTTCCAGAGTCAACAGTCTGGATGGGTCTGGGCAGGAGGAGCACCACATGTATCCCCCGCCCCAGGATAGAGTGCGGGACATGCCCCCTCCCAGGGAGGGGGCCACTGAGGGCCTCAATGTATGTGACAGAGGTGGTGGGCATACACCATGGTTGTCTTCAGAGTGTGTGTCTGTCCCTGTGCATAGTCTTGGGCCTCCAGGGGGATCTCTGTGCCAGGGTCAGGCTGTGGTGTGTGTATATGAGTGCATGTGTGTGTACATGCATGTGTATTTGTGAGAGTGTGTGAAAGTGCATGTGTGTGTGTATGCATGTGTATGCATGTGAGTATGCACATGTGAGTGCATGTGTGAGTGCACGTATGTGCATGTGTGAGTGCATTGTGTGTGAGAGCCTGCATGTGTGCAGGTAGGACAGGGTCTGCATGGTGTTTCTCCATGAGTGTGAGCCTGTGTTGCTTTTAGTGGGGTATATTGACTACAGTGTGTCCTACTCTGTATGTGCGGACAGGTGACATCTGTGACTAGACATACAACATGCCTGTAGCTCTGGGGGCACTGCACTGATGCAGGTGTGGTGACAGCTCTTCATTCCAGGTCTCTTTAAGCTTGTGGGAGTCTGTGTCTGTATTTATGTCCTTCAAATCCTGACTGAACCTGAGTCCCTGTATCTCAGTCTCTGTATGTCTCCATGGGGGTAGGTCTCTCTCTCTCTCTCTCTTTTTTTTTTGTCGTTTATTCTTGGACCACACCTGGCTGTGCTCAGGGATCACTCCTAGCTGGCTCAGGGGAGACCAGATAGGGTGCCAGTGATCAACCCAGGTCAGCCACGTGCAAGACAAGTGCCCTACCTGCTGTGTTCTCTCTGGTCCCTGTGTCTTGATCCTCAGTTTATGCCCATCTCTCTGTATACCTGTGTCCCCACATAGCCCTCTGTGTCACCACATGGAGGTCCAAGTGTCTCTGGAGAGCTTTGAATATCTTAGCTGGTACGCTGAGATGGTAAGAAAAGAAAAGACCCCAAGAGGCTGACCGACCTGCTCGAGCCTGGGCTGTACCTGCAGTTGAGAATGAGTCTTATGGAGAATGAGAGGCTCCTGGAGTTTGGGTTCTGGTCACCATCACCCACCATCTGGCTGCAACGCCAGTGAGGTTAGCAATCAGCTTCAGTCAGGCTTAAAGCAGCCCAGAGCATCCCGAAAGCCAGTCCCGAGCCTTAGGAGTTGCTGGGGGAGACAGCAGAATCCTATTGGGGTCATTTGGCTACATCTTTTCTCTTGTTTTCATATCTGCCTTTCTGCACGCCAAGGGCCAAGTCCAAGAATGGGGGCCGGTGTCTAAGGGAACGGCTGGAGAAAATTGGGCTCAACTTGCCTGCTGGCCGTCGCAAGGCTGCCAATGTGACCCTGCTGACTTCACTGGTGGAGGGTGAGTCCTGATGGCCGGCATGAGTATGGGCAGGTGCATCTGCAGTGGCGGGTGAACAAGGCTGTGCATTAGGGGCGTAATCCACGGGTCGAGGGTAGGCCGGGCCTGCCAGCACCCATGAGCGTGCATATCCAGGGAGGCTTTTACTGTGGTTGTTTCTAATACAGGAACATGTTTGATCATGTGTCATCCACTGCGGGTGTCATGTATCAGGGGTGTATATGGGACATGTGGGCATCATCTGTGTACCTAGGTGCACGCTGGCGTTCATATTCCAGGAAGTAAAGTATGTGCACATGTTTATGTGTACACGGGGGGGAAGAGCTGAGTGGGGGGGGCAGTGAGAGGCTTGTGTTTGGATGTGGAAAGGCATATGGGGAGGGGGGATGTGGATCCTTTCTCTAGAGGTGGTGACTCAGCTCAGTCATCTCAACCTCAGGCTGTGGGACACATGATGGGCTCAGTCTCAGGCCCAGAGCTCATCTCTGTGAGCCCCACAGGAAGGCAGTGGGATTGGGAGGGAGCTGGGACGCCTGGTGACAGTGCCCCTCTCTGCTCTGCCCCCAGGAGAGGCGGTGCACCTGGCCCGAGACTTCGGCTATGTGTGTGAGACGGAGTTCCCAGCCAAGGCAGCTGCTGAGTATCTGTGCCGACAGCACGCTGATCCCGGGGAACTGCACAGCCGCAAGAGCATGCTGCTGGCTGCCAAGTGAGCAAGGGTGCCGTCTGTGGGTGATCCTTTGCAGGTGCCGCACACAAGCACAGGCCAGTGCAACAAACATCAGTACTGTACTTGGGTACAACGGATGCCATGGGGTTCTAGGTGTGGCACCAGACACAGACGTACCTAGGATCCACACTGTATATGACACAGGGGCACAACTCAGGACGTGCGGACACAGCAGAGTTGTTTTGTGGGTACAGGGTGGTGGGTGAAATCTGGTGGTGCTGGGAACTGCTTCTGACTCTGTGTTGAAGGTTGCTTATAGCGATGCTTGGGGGGCCATGAGGAGCCTGGGATTGAATGGGAAAGTGCCTTACTCCCGCACTCTTGAGCACACTGCCAGGGATGGCCCCCAAAACCCAAATTAAAGTTTTTTAATATTAAAAAAGAGTGTAAAAAGTAACTGAAAACTACATATCTGTAGGGTAAAATCTAGAGTCCTTTGAAAACCAATTTGGGCACAAGCGTCACCCCTTCCAGCGGATTTGATTGCTCTCTCCTAACCTCATGTCCCTGGGCTTGCCCTCTTCCTGCTTAGAATAGCATCCAGTCCCCTTACCCCAGCTGACTCCTTCAACTCACAACTTCACCTTAGGGCTGAGCAGTAGTACAGTGGGTAGGACACTTAACCTGGGTTCAATCCCTGGCATCCCATGAGATTCTCCTTGCCCCACCAGAGTGATTCCTGAGTACAGAGCAAGGAATAAGCCCTGAGCAACTCTGGTGGGGCCTCCAACACAAATAAAACTTTATTTTCTCTGAGGCTTTTCTCAAGTCTTTGAGACAGAAGTGGAATCATAGCTCAAGGGATTGCCATGACTAGGGGAACTTTGAGGCTACTCATCGTTGTAGCTGCAGAAACAGTTGGAGGGTTGGGCTCACTTTACTAACTCATCTAACTCATCAGTTGCTTCCTGGGCCCACCAATGTGTAAGTTGGCTGACTTGCTCCCAAGATTTTACAATGAGACAGGAGTGACTGAATCTCCAGTCTGAGGCACACACAAAAAAATGAAAGGTTGCAGACTGGACCTAGATGGAGACAAACCCCAGCTTAGTCACTCAGGCACATCATCTAATCCAAACCGGTTTCACATCCTTGTGATAGGATGATAGTAACAGCACACATCTGTTATGGATTAAGTGAGATGATGCATAATTTATATTCACTATTATTTCAGTTACTCAGAGCAGATCCTGAATTGTTCAGTAGTAATTTCAAAGACAAAGATCTGTGAACAGTAGTTGAAAAGGAGTTGAGAGGGGAATGAAGGCAAATTTCCTGGATCAAGTAGGAGTTGAGCTCAATGAGATATCACCTCACACACACCACAGAGACTGGCCCACATCCAAAAGAAAAGGGGCAACTGGAGTTGGCGCAGATGTGGCGAGAAAGGGACTCTCCTTCACTGCTGGTGGGAATGCCGACTGGTCCAGTTCTTTTGGAAAACAGTATGGACAATTCTCAAAAAATTAGAAATTGAGCTCCCATTTGATCCAGCAATATCACTCCTGGGAATATATCCTGGAGAGGCAAAAAAGTATAGCCGAAGTGATATCTGCACTTCTATGTTCATTGCTGCACTGTTCACAATAGCCAAAATTTGGAAAAAACCCGAGTGCCGGAGAACAGAGGACTGGTTAAAGAAACTTTGGTACGTCTATGCAATGGAGTACTATGTAGCTGTTAGAAAAGACGAAGTCATGAAATTTACATACAAATGGTACTATGTGGAAAATATCATGCTAAGTGAAATGAGTCAGAAAGAGAGGAACAGACATAGAAAGATTGCATTCATCTGGGGAATATAAAATAGCAAAATAGGAGACCAACATCCTAGAGTAGTTGAGATAAGCTACAGGAGGTTTACTTCATGGCTTGAAGGCCAGCGGCACATGCTGTGGGAAAGGGCAGCTCAAACAGAGAAGGGAACACCAAGCAAAGGGTGTTGGGAGGATTCTCCTAGGATGGGAGACGCATGCTGAAAGTAGACTATAGACCGAACATGTTTGCCACTCAATACCTCTTGCAAACCTTAGCAACCAAAAGCAGAGAAAGAACAAAAAGAATGCCCTGCCACAGAGACAGGATGGGATGGGGGTATGGGAGGGGTAGGAGGATTACTGGGACCATTGGTGGTGGAGAAAGGGCACTGGTGGAGGGATGGTTACTCGATCATTGTAAGACCAAAACCCAAGTACAAAAACTTATAAGATAAAAAAAAATAATAAAATAAAAACAAGTAGGAGTTGAGCTGAATGTGGGTAGGATAGACACAGGAGAGACAGTGGGGTCTTGACACATAAACTTACTCTTTGTGTGGTCTCCGAACGCTAGGTTTCATTTCCTATGAAACAGGTATGATCCTTTGCAGACTATTGGGAGGGTCAGTGATCATATATCTAAGTGCCTTTCCTGTGCTATGTCCTGCTTCACTGGGCTCAGACCTTTGTCCTTCAAACCTCTGACCCTCCTTCTCCCACCAGGCAGATCTGTAAGGAGTTCGCAGACCTGATGGCTCAGGACCGCTCACCGCTGGGCAACAGCCGCCCAGCACTCATCCTGGAACCTGGGGTGCAGAGTTGCCTGACACATTTTAGCCTCATCACCCATGGCTTTGGCGGCCCTGCCATCTGTGCCGCTCTCACAGCCTTCCAGAATTACTTGCTGGAATCACTCAAGGGGCTGGATAAGATGTTCCTAAGCAGTGCAAGCAGTGGGCATGGTGATACAAAGGCTTCAGAGAAGGATGCCAAACATCGGAAGTAACTTTCTCCAGCTCCAAGCCCAAGGGGCACCCAAGGCTTAAAGTGAGGTCTGAGCTCCTGAGGCGGGCCTGAAAAGATGAAAACATGTGACTGGAGTCAGGCTGAAAAAAAAAAAAAAAAGAGAACATTCATCCAGGAACCCTAGAGTCAGGCTCTGGGTTGGAGTGTGGGGAGAGATATCTCCGTGGTGGTTTAGAGGGGGCAGGGTCTGCCATGCGTACGATTTCTGACCCTTGATTTCAGAGAAGAGCGTGAGCATGGAATTGGCTCTTGGTGCACAATCCTGCCCATTGAGGTGCCTGAGCAGCAGTCAGCATTTTTAAGGCCAAGGTTCTGATGTTTTCAGTCAGGAGAAAAATGGTTCTACTAGTCAGAGGTGTTACTGGGGATTAGTACCTTCATTCCAGAATCTTCTAGTCCCAAAAAAGGAATACTGGCAGGAGGCCCCAGTGGGCTCTTTGGACCCTTCCAATATTGGAAAGAAATGAGCAGGAGAGGCCCTCAAGGAACAAAGAAGATAAAGCACAAATTGCAGAACTTGAATCCAGGCTGTACTTCAGTCTTGTCCGTCCTATTTATTTATGTATGTTGTAATTAAAGTTTAAAAATGTCCAGTGCGACTTACTTATCCCAGTGAGTTCTGGGATCAAGAAGGAAGAGACTTTCACTGTTTTTTGTTCATGCACTGAGATGTCCCGCTGACCAGTATAGAAGGGGGAGGGGGGTTGCTCACAAAGGACTGGGAGGGAGAGGGAAGGAAAGTATCCAAAACCCTGAGGTTGTCATTGGGATTTTGTATTTGCTGTTGTTAATCTCTTGCCTCTGCAGTCAGTGTACCTCCCCGACTCTCAGACTGCTTCTCATTCTCTTAATAAAATCTTTTCACTGGACATGAAGCCCTCCTGTCCTTTCTTGAAAAAATATAGTTTTATTAAGGAATATGGAGTGGGTGCAGGGGGTCGGGTGGAAGAGAGACAGAGACAAAGCGTAATCGAGAATATGGGTTTCTCCAGAGGGGAAGAGTCAGATTGAGATGTGGGTCAAGCTCCAAGGTGAATAATACACCCTCCCTTTCCTTTTTCATCCAAGGCCTAGACTTGCCTCCAAAAAGGGCAAGGTAGGGGCCAGAGCAATAGCATAATAGGCAGGGCACTTGCCTTGCACACAGCCAACCCGAGTTCAAACCTCGGAGCCCACCAGGCATTGATTCCTGAGAGAAGAGCCAGGAGTAACCCCGCCCCAGCATCACCAGGTGTAGTCTAAAAAACCAAAAAGGCAAGATAACTAGGTCCTGGTGAGGTCCAGGAATTGGAGGAAAGGCTTTTTATTTATCTATATATTTTTTTATTAGTGAAACACCTACATGAAGTGTAGTTGTAGACTTAGAGGAAAGGCTTTTATAGCTAGAAAGGGCCTCTGAGGAAGAAACCTACGAAGAAGCTCTGAGCACCTCTGTGTGAAAGAGAAGGGAGGCCAAGTCATCATGATCCGCGGTTATGGTTCTGCTTGGGGTGAATGTGGGGAGGCTCGTGATGTGTATTATTGAGACTCTGTGAGTCTGTGCAGATGTGTCATTTTGACTGGGTCAATGTAATGTGCTACTATGACCATTTATAGTGGACTGTATGTGTTCACATGAGTGCTTGTTGCTCTGCATGTGTGCATATCCCAAGCGAATCCAGCTCTTAGATGGAGCATTTCATTCTTGTTTTCTGGGCCACAGTGGGTGATGCTCAGGGCTTATACCTGGCTCTGTGCTCAGGGATCACTCCTGCCAGTGCTTGGGGACTGTATGGGATGCCGGGGATCAAAAGTGGATCAGCCACAAACAAGGTAAGCAACCCTACCCACTGTACTATCTCTCTAGCCCTAGATTTCACTCCTTATACCCTCTTGTCATTTTGGGGTCACTCCCAGGATTATTAGAGGGACCACGTGGTGCCAGTGATTGAACCCAGGACTTTAGTCAAAGAACCAAGACCAGGAAACAGGGAAAGGAAGCCGAACTTCAGGCGGAGCAGGCTGGGGAACAGTAGCTCAGCTGGCAGCACTGAGCTGCTCCCACTATTCCAACACCTTTTCTCATCTCTCTTGGAGGTTCCTCGTCAGCTTCACTTTAGGGCTGAGTTTCCTTATCCTAAGGCAAAACAGATGCTCTCTTCTCCAACCTACCCCCAGCCCCCCAGAAAGGAATAAATTGCTTTTCTATGTATTAAACACCTTAAAGCAGATGGGAACCAATTTTAACATTCTGAGTGATGTTGGTCAGGGATATAAAATAGTTGGTGGATTTTAAGTGTTTTGCAAACTTCAGAAAATTTAAGAGCACAATGGCATAAAGAAAATTAAGTTAGCAGGGGATATGGGGAAAAAAGAAAAAAAATCTAGGGGTTGAAAGATAGTACAGTGGGTAGGGTGCTTGCCCTGCACATGGCCAACATGGATTTGAATAATCTCCAGCATCTGAGGATGGTTCCCTGGGTCCTGCAAGGAGTAACCCCTGAGCACAGAAGACACCTATAGTTTGCATCCCCAGAAAGGCAGACTAGAAAGTAAAACATCTAGTTAGGACCTGGAGCAATAGCACAGCGGGTAGGGTGTTTGCCTTGTACACGACAGACCCGGGTTCGATTCCCAGCATACCATACGGTCCCCCAAGCACCATCAGGAGTAATTTGTGAGCACATGAGCCAGGAGTAACCCCTGTGCATCGCCGGGTGTGACCCAAAAAGCAAAAACAAAACAAAACAAAACAAAAAAACATCTAGTTAACTACTACCTTAAAGAAGTAGTGTGCAGATCAATAACCGGGCAGCTATATATTAACTGATATAAAACAATATCCACTGTAGTATTAAATAAAACAATCATATGTAGAATTTCTAATTTGGTGGGGTGGGCAAGCCACCAGGACATTCTTGGTGAGCTTGGGCTAGTGGTTCAATACTAAGTTGCTTGGGCATTAGTATTAGGTGCCAAGAACTATCAGGGTCACCCCAATGGAGCTTGGGTCTAGAAATATTTTTGAAAGGGATTATCTATGTTATGCACATACAGATGCTTTATATAAGAATGATGTCACTCTTAAAAGGATAGATAAGAAATTAACAGATGATGTTTCCTCTAAAAAGTTAAACAGATGATCAAATTACAGGAAGAAACATTTGTTACTACTTGTCTTTGCACTGCTTGCATTTTTTATTAAGTGCATGTATTACCTATTCTAATTAATTTAGATTTACACTTAAAGGCAAAAGTACTACTAGGGTGAATGAGAAATAAGCAAACAAAATATTGAAGACCGAGATGGAAAGGAAGCTGAGCCACGAAGCAGCTGCTACAGGGCAACAACTGTACCACAAAGGGAAAGCGGCCGGGAAAGGCTCACCCTCCCCTCCATAGCTTCCCCGAGATGATGATAGGCAAACTAGGACTCAATTTAACTGGAAAGCTCGATTTAATCATATTCAGATTTATTCTTAATTTACCTTTTATCAAGAGTACATGTCAAAAGAGTAGAAAAAAAATAAAGGAGCCCATCAAAAATAGTTCCCTAGCAAGTGGGAGGAAGGGCTTGACGTTAGGAAGCCTGTTTAGTGAAAGAAATGTTGTCCAGGTCATGGATGCCATTTTTGTCAATGATTCGAACACTGAAGGTTGGCAGATTCAGGATGAAGCGTTTTTGGAGCTGCAGAAAGACATGAAGGAAATTGGTTAACAAACAGTTGCTGAGCACTCCCTATGCACAGGGTACAAAAGTAGGCAAAAAGCTCTGGCTATTGCAGCACCTGGTCTTTCAAAAGGAGGTAGTTCAGGACCAAGAAATAAAGGAAATCCCAAAATGCAGCTGGGAGCTTGTCTCTGCTCTGCGAGCTGATGAAAGAATGCAACAACCTACTGCCCTAGTCCCCGAAGTCTACTACCCATCAGCTTGTTAAACACTTCCTTTTGTAAAGGTTGGAGGTAATAAGCCAATAAAGGAAGCGAATCTCCTAGGACTACACTTTGAGTCAAAGCGATGTACACCGAGGGCTCAACAGTTAGCTCTAGTCACGTGACAGGGACTGTTGTTGTGAGTGAAGAGTGTGAGTGTATGTATGAGCAGCTGTACGGGTGGGGAGAAGGAAGTCAGCAGAACTGCTTTTGGACCCAGCCCTGCTCTACCTCTTCCAAGTCAAGGTGACCTGTCATTAGAATAAGAGTTCCACACTCTCAGGGCTGGGGATGCTCAGTGGCAGCGTGCATGCTTTGCATTTATGAGGTCCTGGGTTTGATACCACAAAGCATAAAAACCCAAAACCAAACAAACCATGAGATTCCCTGCTGAGAGATTCCAAGTGATATGTGGTCTACGTTCATGGTTGGAAGCGTCTACTAACCCAGCTAAAGGTAACTAAGGAACACAGCTCCTAGAAGTCTTTGCTTTTATGGCTCTCTTTCACAGACACTTTACTTAGTTTCTAGAAAGAAGGCATGATGATCTCTACCTGCTTTTCATTGCGGGGTGGGGATGGAGGGAAAGACAGGAGCCTGGGGGTGACATCCAGCAATGCTATAGGGATTATATGATACAGGGTATTGAACCAGGATTGGATGCACACCATCAAGAATCATACCTCCTGCAGTACCCTACCTGCTCTCTAGGAGCATGTCCTGGAAATATCTACTCCCCAGGCTTAAGCCCACACTCTTCTTGGTATTTTCCGTCACAGCTAATGACTATTTTGTTTTTGTCCCACACCCAGTGGTGCTCAAGACTTACTTTTGACTCTGCACTCAGAGATCACTACTGGCAGTGCTCAGGAGACTATATGGGGTGTGGGGATCAAACCTGGGTCAGCTGCATACCAGATAAAGGCACTATCTACTATACTATCTCTCTAGTTCCCTTACAGCTAAGGATTAAGTGCACCAAAATATTCCATTTCCAGGGTCCTCTCTGACTGATGATTCTAGGTCAAGAAATTAGCTCCAAAAGAAAACCTGGTTTCTAAAATAGTTATACTAAGGATCACTGGGAAATAAAGTTTCAACTTGATATTCTATGTCTTCTTGGTGGTGCTTTTCTTTTGCATGAGGGATTAGGAGCTCCTAAGCAGTGCAGTACTGGGGATACAGG